AAAAGCTCATCTAATTAAAGGACATGTTTGGGCGTCAATAGACTTTTGATCATATTTTTAATTTAATTTATACGAGAAATAGCTTTTTATCTAATTTAATGGGAGAATACCGAATGCAATCTTAAATTTTCCATTTAGATTAACTTATGGGAAAGTTTCCCATTAATTTATCCCTATGTAAGTCTATTGTAATATTCAAAGTTTTATTAAAATTACTTTCAAAAGATTATTCTGTGATCATAAGTGTAAACATCTATAAAAGTGTCCCAAACATCACGGCCTAGACTTCCGGCACAGACTATCATTATATGTCAATTCTTAAAGTTATAAAGACAGCGTCTCTTCCATCACATAATGTCTTTAATTCTCAGACTTAATGACACCATATATTCTTCGACTTGTTTTTACACCATTTTTCAAATATCAAGATAATAAAAAAAAGTAAATGTTTTGCAAACCATTAATGAGTGTTTGTGTTCACGAATTTAAACATTATATTTGTTTGTTGAGATGAATTAGGGTTTGGACACAGATATACTGTAAATGCAATAAATGACACCAAAACATGCAATTCTGATGTAAAATACAGGTACACATATTATATAGTGTTTATCATTGCTTTAATACAGTACATTTGTTTTAATATTAATAATATAAATTAAAGTTGAAACTTTTATATTTACTTTAATTACATAATCTCTACAAAAGAAATAAATTAATATTTCGCTATTAAACGCAGTAAAATATATGTTTGTTAATATAATAAAAATGAATGCATTTTTCAAAAATAAACTTTGTTTTAAAGCCAAACATGTATTGTGTTATACGAAATAAAAATAAAATCTCAAAACAATTACCGATACACATAGTATAGTGTATTGTATGCATAAAAATGTAAATTCATGTCAAAAATTTACATCTTTATACAGTATATGGACGTGAAATCGTGAATTGAATTTCCTTTTTATTCTCAATGAATACATTGCATACAGAATTATGTTTGCAATTCAATGCAATCAACTTTTTTATTATTTACAACAAAACATTATATAACGAGGAGTTCTCCATAAACTGTTCAATATTGATGTGTTTGTTTGCCAATCATTAATATTTAAATGTATTAATACATAAATTAATTTTTTCTGGTAAAAAACTAGATATATGGAACAGCATTTTACAATTTACAGATTTGATCCATCTTATTTGGTTTAGGAGATATTCGCATTTTCAATTGGCGGATATATATTGACGGACTGGATATTATAATGAATGCACAGATAAAAATTCTGCCATAATTTGTAATTATATTGACTTCTCCTCCAGATATCTATTGTATAAACACATCGATAGTATAATATAGTAAAGAGAGAAAGAATATTTGTGAAATAAGTAATAATTAATTACTAACTGTAGTTATAGTCATAAGAATATAATATAGTGACTGGTAATATGGCATTGGATGTGCGTTTGCAAATTCATCAGGGTCACCAGTATTTTCAAACTTTGTCAACAACAAATAATAGACAAACAATAGAAAAAAGGGAATTATAAGGAATTGGATTGAATGTTATTATGAAATATTGGGTATATTATACTGACTGTGAAAACAAAGCCGGCGGACACTACGATGATAGTGGTTAAGCCTACCACACATTTTGCAAACCTGACCGCTAGTGATGTTTTTAAGACATTTAACTGAACCAAAACACGGCTCAATTCCCAAAACATTACGGTTCGCATGAATTTGAATCCTTTTATTTGGGCAAAACATATAACGAGATATATATTATTTCTCGGAAATAAATGTTTAAAAAGCAATTATCTGTTAGGCTTTGGAAGTTCATACCAATCCATGTCCTGTCTGTAAATAGTACGACAAATGCGGGCGGAATTGTCATAAAATCGGCGATTGAATAGATTTCAAACAAAAAGTATATCTTATTTGATGACGAGATTAGCTATTGAATCGTTTAAGAGATTTTTTGTGTATCGCTTTTGTGAGAAAATGCATTCAATTTAATGGTTGTCTTGTGTTTTCTTTACCCGAATTGTGAAAATTTACTATTTTATATATAAATTACGGTTTAGCTAAACGCTCTCATTTGACAGACACTTACCATACGTACAGAGCCGGCGGAGCGGCATGTATTCCGGTGGGGAAAACTTTGGTGTATATTTAGTTAGGAATATTTAAATTTATTATTGCAATTGTTGTTACCTTTGGCTGCAATCGATCGCAAATACAGTAAACGAAATCAATGTCATGAATACGACAGATAAGCCCTAAGATATTTAAAAAATATTATTACATTATTTTGTAGGTCGTTTTGCGAAATCAATTTCTTTCTAATCGAAAGTAATATATTATTTCTTGCTGTAAATGATTGCTGTATTTGTTTTGAAACTGTATTTCTAATCGTATTATCGGGAACTGAGAGATTCACTGACTTATAGGCGCATAAAAGGTAGTTATTTATAACAAAAAATGCATTACCAAACTGTCATAGAGCTGTTCAGACGGAACGGCTCTCTCGCTTTATTTGTTTCATTTAACTTTTGCCATTCAATTGTGAATTAATGGAGAGAGAGAGAGAGAGAGAGAGAGAGAGAGAGTTAAATGATAAAATATATATTTAATGCCAAATCGATTTGCGAGAGTAAACTGTCTGTGAATGGTATGCATGTCTCGGCCGCCTCGCCGTACATAAGGCCACCCCTTTTGAAACCACATATAAATCAATAGAATATTTAAATTTATTATTGCAATTGTTGTTACCTTTGGCTGCAATCGATCGCAAATACAATAAACGAAATCAATGTCATGAATACGACAGATAAGCCCTAAGATATTTTAAAAATATTATTACATTTTTTTGTCGGTCGTTTTGCGAGAATCAATTTCTTTTTAATCGAAAGTAATATATTATTTCTATGAAATGATTGCTATATTTGTTTTGAAACTGTATTTCTAATCGTATTATCGGAAACTGAGAGATTCACTGACTTATAGGCGCATAAAAGGCAGTTATTTATAACAAAAAATGCATTACCAAACTGTCAAAGAGCTGTTCAGACGGAACGGCCCTCTCGCTTTATTTGTCTCATTTAACTTTTGCCATTCAATTGTGAATTAATGAAGAGAGAGAGAGAGAGAGAGAGAGAGAGCAAGTAAGACTAAGTTAGTGAAGCGCAGGGACGCAAACATTTACATAATTAAATCATACAAATTATTTTTAACTTTTGCCATTCAATTGTGAATTAATGAAGAGAGAGAGAGAGAGAGAGAGAGAGAGCAAGTAAGACTAAGTTAGTGAAGCGCAGGGACGCAAACATTTACATAATTAAATCATACAAATTATTTACTTCATTGGAATGGCTATCGATAAAAGTAAGAGAGTATTGATTGTCGGCTAATGTTCGCAAACATACTGTACTTACAAATACTATTGAACGCGTCGTTTGGCCGCCAATTAATTCATTCGCTTCTCTAATAAGTCTCTGTTTTTGTTTTAAGTAAAATGTATTTTAAAACTAACCTTTCAATAATAAATGTCATTTTATAACACATTAAACCTTTATCTTTGAATATTTGAATAGTTTTCGACATAAGTCAGGCTTTTTTAAACGTAAAAACTTGTAAATCAATTGCGATATTAGTGTAATTGTTAGCACTAATGGATAAAAAACATTTTCAACTTATTTTATTTAAAATTTATGTAAAAATATTGGATAAAAACAGTATATAAAAGTCAAACCAGTAAAAAAGGTGTAGAGAATTGAATTGACAAAAGTATTATATTTCCTGTTGTGGAGACACAGACTCTCGTCGGGTGAATGGGTACCGACCAGTGGTCTAATTGGACTCCGATTCAAATCCATACTTGCTTTAAATTATGGTTTTACAGCAATAATACCTGTTATTAATCCTTCTCCAGAATAAAGTAATTAATATAAAGTTATTAAAAATTTTAATTCTTGTTAACAAACTAGATTTATCATGATTTTTAATACTATGTTGTTGGGTTTTTAAAATATCTGTATATGCTGTATAAATGTATTTGTCATTAATTATTTCAATATAATTAATTACTTGTTTAAATTTTTAATTTACTTTATTATAAATATTAAATGAATGATTAAATAACAAATACTGTTAAAAATAAATGCATGAAGAGATACAAAGATGCTATAAAACAAAATATCGGTTTCCAAGGCAATGGTTATATATTATCTAATACTTCCCTATAATCGCCCACTACTACCCCATTACCTGCCATAACATATCCGGTCCTTTATTTTGATTATATATGATATTTATAACTATTTATTTGTAGAAAATAAGTAATGTAGTAATATTAGTAACTTATGCTATAGGTATAAGTATAGAAAGGTATTTGATTTAAATATAGACATGTTAATATTAATATTTTATATCAAAATAAAAGTCAGAAAGACAAATATCGGTAAGTTTTTAAAATTTATTTCCCCAGCGATTGGTAAAATTGTGTGCAATAAGTTGTCGGCTGTCTGTCTGTGTGCCGTAATTTAGTTCATAGTATATAATACTATACTGAAAGCTCTCAATCATTTAGACACAAACACATATAGTATATATTCTATGTTAGTATTTGGCAAATGAAAATTTTTGACAAATATTTTTCGTCAACTAATTTCTTGTATTAAAAAATTCTGTATATTTCTCTGGCATCGCCTCAGAGCAAAAACTTATGTTAAAAGTGTTTTTAATATGATATCTGATTAAAATATACACACTTGGTATTAAAGCATATAAAATGATTTCTAATGTGTGATTAAGTAAATGTTTTTACAAAATAAGACCTAAAACCATTTTCTTATATTTACACTAAAATATGATAAAAATATAATTTCAAAATGACAATGTTTGTTATTAAAGTCTTGATCTAATGGTTTACTTACTGTTAAGTTATTCTTAAACAAACATGTTAATATCAAACTAAAGGAGTAATATTGCTAAGATTTAAACGGATTCTTTTATTATATTCTTAATGTTTTGAAAATTCTGTTTATTTGTTAACAATATCATATTTTATATGAACGATCTACTATATATATAAAATATATATCTATATATATAAAATATTTATATTGTAGTTCACGGTTTGTATGCCATTTGGTGACACTACATATTACATCTCTAACAAGTATTTTGTTAATAAATCTTTACGAAACTTGCTCTCAACTAATATAATATTTTAGTTTTGCCTTATATTCCGTTACTTAATGTTCAAGAGTTTGAGTGAGTATTCACAACAACAATACATCACTTACTCCCACATTAACCGATGGACTGCTATATATTTATAATGCATTTTTCATCATTTATTTAATAGTGGGAGCACTCAATGTATTGCAGGTTATATTAGAATAATATGATAATTGCATATTTGATTCATTGCTATATTAAGATATCTTATATCATGGGATAAATATAACCACTAATTAGGAAGTTATTTAAAAACTACTAATTCGTGCATTTATTAAACAAAATATTTAAATAAACAAAAGTTTTTAGTTATGTTTAGCAAAAACATTGAGAATTCGAAGGCAAGGAATTCAAGGCTATCGTCGATTGTGTCGATTGTTCTCTCAATTTATATAATGAATGAAATCCACAAAATTAATGATTGAAAATCAATATCCATTACAATTAAACAAAATAAATAGTTTTAAGTCAATATTAATTAAAACTTTTATATGTTTAAGTTAAAAATAAATATTTGATATACGGTATATCTAAAATATAATTTATTATCATAGTTAATATACCAAAGTTTCTAGTTTAATTAAAAGTACTATTTATATAAAAAAATTCCAGACCTCAATACCTTAAATAATTTGTATTGATAAGTCTCCACTTATTAATACAATTATATACAGAATTTATTATTAATATTTATATATTTAAGGTATTATTATTACTGATATAAACACTAACATTAAATATTAATTTATAAATTATAATTCGCCTACTCTACTGTAAGTGCATGTTCATATACTTTATGTTCTTTATATGGAAACTTAAATATTATAAAAATATTAACTTAACTAAAATTAAAAATAAAAATATTACAACATATTTCCATAACATGCTTACCAATATTCTCGAATAATATTTAACCGTAACAGCTATTATGCTTGAAATTGAGGATGGCACATTTGTATATTAATTGTAAATATTAATGCACGTTGGTTGAAATTTATTCTCACATCCATTAGATAATGATTATTTATTTATGTATTAATACATTTAAATATTAATGATTGGCAAACAAACACATCAATATTGAACAGTTTATGGTTAACTTTTGCCATTCAATTGTGAATTAATGGAGAGAGAGAGAGAGAGAGAGAGAGAGAGCAAGTAAGACTAAGTTAGTGAAGCGCAGGGACGCAAACATTTACATAATTAAATCATACAAATTATTTGCTTCATTTGAATGGCTATCGATAAAAGTAAAGGAGTATTGATTGTCGGTTAATGTAGGGATCGGTTCGCAAACATACAGTACTTACAAATACTATTGAACGCGTCGTTTGGCCGCCAATTAATTCATTCGCTTCTCTAATAAGTCTCTGTTTTTGTTTTAAGTAAAATGTATTTTAAAACTAACCTTTCAATAATAAATGCCATTTTATAAGACATTAAACCTTTTTCTTTGAATATTTGAATAGTTTTCGGCATAAATCAGGCTTTTTTAGGCGTAAAAACTTGTAAATCAATTGCGATATTAGTGTAATTGTTAGCACTAATGGATAAAAAACATTTTCAACTTATTTTATTTAAAATTTATGTAAAAATATTGGATAAAAACAGTTTATAAAAAGTAATATAAAAGTCAAACCAGTGAAAAAGGTGTAGAGAATTGAATTGACAAAAGTATTATATTTCCTGTTGTGGAGACACAGACTCTCGTCGGGTGAATGGGTTCCGACCAGTGGTCCAATCGGACCCCGATTCAAATCCATACTTGCTCTAAATTATGGTTTTACGGCAATAATACCTGTTGTTAATCCTTTTCCAGAATAAAGTAATTAATATAAAGTTATTAAAAATTTTAATTCTTTTTAAAAAAAACTAGATTTATCATGATTTTTAATACTATGTTGTTGGGTTTTTAAAATATCAGTATATGCTGTAGTGTCGGTAAATTGGACAATTTTCATTCACGCTCACTCACGTTCACGACAAAAATTTTCACGCTCACTCACACTCACGGGGAAAA